CCTGTCCAGGTAGTATAACCACTGTTCCTTCAATTCTTCCAAAGGTGTCTTTAGGAACATTCAGTGCCTTCGCTCTCTTTTTGTATCTTATTCCTTTACAAGATTGTGAAGGGTGATGATATCTTCTCTTAACTGTGTGGACTATTCTTTTGACTTGGCCATATTTCTAACATGCAGTTAAACATAACACTCATCAAACTCCTAGCCAGTTCAGTTATTGCAAATGTTCCAGCTCAAACACACCTGGTGCAACTAATGAAGCCCTTGATTAGTTGCATCACGAGTGCTTAAAACATCACCTATTTTGCATATTTGTGCTGTTGTGAGAGATTCTATTTAGGGTTTGAATTATTTTAAGACTGGAGAAGTCATTATAAGTTGCATTTTCAGTTGAATTTGGGGAAAACAGATAAAGCATTTGTTCTATTTCAATTGCTTTGTTTAATTTGTCCATTGCAAACCGCTTAGAGTCTGTAAATGTTGACAATAAACTTAATGTTTAATGGAGGTTGAATAATTTTGATTATAATTGTATAATTAACCTGTGTGATGCACAGGTCCGTTCAGCCCCCAAAAATTCACTACTAAATTGTCCAAAATTAGAGGTCCCAATCAAAATGTTGTTCAGAAAAACTAAAAAATCTCACCATGTGCAAGTCTATTTATACGAACTAAAATTACTTATTTATACAAAAAAATATTTATTTTTTCATCACATATAGGTCTCAATTTAAAATGCTTTTCAAATGATTCAATACTGTTAGAAAAACCAAAGTATTCATCTACAGAAATCGCCATTAAAATCTAAGGGAATTTTGTGTATAGATTATTTGGAACATTTTTCAATCATATTGAATCATTTTGAAAGCTTATTAAAACTATTTGGATGAGCATTTCAAATGATTTAATATTTTTGTGTATATATATATATATATATTTTTTTTTTTTTTTTCTGTATATATATATATATATATATATATATACACAAAAATATTAAATTATTTGAAATGGTCATCCAAATAGTTTTAATAAGCTTTCAAAATGATTCAATATGGTTGAAAAATGTTATATATATATCGTCTCGTGATATGGAAGACACAAGAAGAGAGGACCAATCGTGCAGAGTGTATATGATGATTGTAAAATATAAATTTTACACTCACATTTAGATGAGCTATGGCCAGCTCAGGTGCAGTAGGCACACAGCGGAACAATCCCCGCTTATAGGATATACTGGTGCTTATCCTTTCTTTTCTCTTGTTTTTAAACTAGATGCAAAGGTTATAATTTAAAGCATAGGTCCAGATGCAGACAGCATTTGAACACTCTCAGTGTTAGCAGTCTTATTTAATTCCTAGACATCTATAGGTAAACACTGAGATAAACAATACTAGGGATGTAACAATAAAATGGAGGAAAAGGCATTGTAGAAAACACTGAAGTGCAGGATCTGCACATTATACATAAAATAAACTACATATCCTTCCCCTATACACAGGAGCTTTGAATGATTGTGTTTACAAGGGAGCCTACAGAATTATATTAAAAAACACTGGCATCTATTTTTCTAAATTGATAAGTATTTAATAGGATGCTGCAGGAAAGAAAATTTTGATGTCTTTGCTGATATTTATATTGCTAAATCTTTGACAAACACCAGAGTTTCTCAGTGTTTGTTGTCAAGTTTACGATGCAGGTTTTAAGATCTAATCACATAAGCGCAGGTGTCTATTTATTTAAAAAGGTGCTTCTGTCAAAGAGTGCAACACTGATTAAATCAACTGTGTTTACAGATATATTTAATATGAAGACAGATCATATGCACTTAGTCTGTCTTACCTAACCATACTTTTCATGTGTGAGAGATGCTGAATAGATTCTCTTGGAATTCATCTGTGCATTTGCTCACAAATAATACAAATCTCATGAAAATATGAAACACATCCTTAAAAATAGTATTTCTTAATGAACTGTTATCAATTGTGGATCTTAAGATCACCAAATATTATAAATATTTTCATAGACTAAGGAAAATAATGTTGGAAATAAAGAAATCATGGTGGCCCCTATATCTTAGGTTTTAAAAACTCAAGCCCCCAAATATGCCTAAATAAAGAATAATTAGCATTGGTATAAATGTTGTTTGTGACAATTCTTTTTCTTCTGTTATTAGACTTGTGCATTTGGTTTTGTCAAAATTTTGATTTTTTTTTCCACATTTTGGTTGATTGTTAATTTGTCTTAATTTTGCAACTTCAAAATGCCTATGTATCATGAAATAAACTAAATGGGCAATGAATGAACCATTGCATTTGTTTTGTGATTTAGAGTTCTGTCTGTGGTGCCTTAAAAGGGAGATGCAAAAGAGAAGTAGATTTTTGGGGATTTGGCCAAATACGCAGCTTAGTTTACTATGAGGTCTACCCAATTAAGTGGACTGTATCTCCTGTCCAATAAAGAGGTAATAAAGAAGATGATTGATGGGATAAAAAAAGATGATTAATGGTGAGGAGAAAACTAAATGTTGATTTTATTCACAGGTCAAGAAGTAATCTACAGAGGGAAACAGATTCAGTAAAGCAAATCTATATATTTCAAAGCAGGATTTTTCCAAAGACTTTGGCACCAGCTATTGAGGTAGACAGATTAGCAGATAATGACTGGTTTTACCAGTGCTGTTCCTGTGTGGGAGTGGTAGCCTGTATCATTGATCCTAGCATGAGACTGGTAAGGTGATCAGGCAGTGCTTAGCCACTGCTAGTACCACTTACACCAACGTTTAAATTGTTCAGCAAGGAAGTGAGTGGGGGAAGAGTGGATGATCATATCACTACTGAAGAGACAAAGTCTGTATGAATGAGGGAAGAAGCAGAAAACAAAAGTACTAGGGCAGGTAATTTAATCCCTTGCTGAAAAATATGCAATTTCTTATGATCCACTTTGAGCAGGAACATAGTCTCAGCACTGTACTGTACAGTAGTATTGAAGTAGGATCTACACTTCATCACAGATTTATGGAATGCCCCTACTGGCCAGCATGCCTTACTCTCCTTGAAAGCACATTGATGGCAGTCCATGGTGCCTATCTATAGTGTTGGTAGATGTAGAGGTCCAACGTTATCGCAGAATGTCAGACAGGAGTGGATCTACAAGGCATCAGGGCTATCAAATGCTTCTGCTACACACTGAAGTGATGGACAAAAAGAACTCTTCAGAAAGCATCTTGAAGGCAATCAGATTAATAGTGGCAAATTAATTAGAAGATCATGCAGGCACCAATCTGTACGTAGGGTTTGTGGCAACTGCTAACATCAGCAATGCTAATGAAGATAGTTCCTTTGTAGTTGTTCACTGTACTTCAGAGATCGTACAACTTACAGGTTAGGCTGCAACTCCTGAAGGTAGCACAAAAGTGGCAAACATGTTTGATTATTGAAGTAGGATTGACATACTGAGCAGACTATCCATCTCTTGAGATAGGAGAAAGAGAAACCTCCTACACACAGTCTATAATAGGATGTCAGCACATGGTGGAACTCTCCTTTAGACATCTTGGAAAGAATATTGGAACAGCAGAGGGCAATTCATAGGCCCAACTAATACTTTGATGCTGGGTTCCTACTGGTATATAGTAATTTAGGAATGTGATAGAAAAACTGAATCACAGTACTTCCTTTGTTCACTCACCTCAAGAACTGAATGGATGCCTTCCTGGAAAATTGGGACATTATTTCTGGTGGCACACTTCAGACTAATGTAGCTGCAAAGTCCAGAAGACTGAAAGATCTACTCAAAGCTCATCTGCACAAACAATTTGCTAATTGCCCTTATCTGAAACTAGTTTTCCTGATAAGATTTAGGGGAATTTGGCACTCCAATCCAACACTCTGATAAACTGAAGGGACAAACTTATTGACAGGATCCATGATTTGCAGTGAAAAAAGGGCACACTCGTTGAGAAAGATCTGTAGATTGAACCTGACATAATTGAACTCCCAGGAGCAGCACAACCCCAGCACAGCAGAGTGGAGCATCTGTGCTTTTGACAGAGGCTCTTGAAAGTTTGTTGAGTGCAAGCAATGCACTAAGCAGCAGAAAAGAACACAGAACCTCTGAAATGGTCACAGCTAACCTCTATGAACCTCCTACTTCTAACCTTCTGAGTTACTGAGATCACAAGAAGAATGTTTGGCCTACTCTCTCTCAGGTTGCCCACCAGCTATTGTCATGTCCACCGACCACTGTCCAAAGTTCTAAATTCTAGACCAACAATGCTCACAAATATCCCCCCAACTGAAGTAGCAAATAATCTTTTTCTTTTTTTTATAAATTCTTTATTTTCAAAAGTTTTAGTTTTTTGGGTGGGGGTACAGAAAAGAAACTGGGGGTAGACATTTATTATACAGTGTTTACAATCTGAACCTGTGACAGTTATTATATTCTTTCATTCTATGCAGATATATTCGTTTTTAACTTCAGCTTTTGCGTTTGTCTTCTGCATTTCATTACAGTCCTTTTTTTATTTCAGTATGTTTGTTCTTTGGTCTACAGGGTTGTGTAGGGTACAAGAAAGAGGGAGGGGGTGGGTTGCCCTATCACAATGCTCTTTTGTGTCTGTACTTTCAAGTTTTCTTCCTTGTTTTTTTCTTGCAATGTATTTGTTGTGCGTCTTTTGGGTTCAATCTTGGGTAGTCGGGTTGAATGGTTTATTGTATTGTACCACTTCTGCATGGGTCGGTAGGGTGGGGTGGGGGTTGGTTTTTATGTGTGTTGCCTTGGTTTATCATCTTGTGGGGCATAGGTCTGTGTTGTGTGTTTTTCTTCTCTAGGAGTGTTGCTGTCGGTTGTGTGGTTCAGATGTGGGTGTCTTTGTCATCTTGAGGATGTTCCTCTGTTTCGTTCGTGGTGGAGTGATGCTCATGTTTAGAGTGCCTGTGATTTTGTCTTCGGGATTTTCATAAAATGCTGGCTAAGGGCGTGCCTACACTGTTTAGTGTTGGTTAGTGATTGGACGTTCCCTGGGTGTCATGCTCATTTCTCTCTCCTTGTTTTGTTTCACCCCTGGGTGTATTGTGGTATTTGTGATGTGGGTTAGCTAGTTTGGGGTATTTTGGGGGTTTATAGGTTTCTCCTGTTCTTGTCAGTCTTTCTGTAGGTGGTGTGAAGTCTGTCTGGTTATCAGTTTGGGTTTTATCTCGGTGGTTGTATTGTGGGGAGATATCTTTTTGTGTCTTGCTATGGGGTGTGATGTTGGTTCGGAGGTGGGGTGTGGATAAGTGTGCGGGGTGTGTGGGGGGAGCCTTGGGTGTCTGTCTGTGTGTGGGGGAGGGGGTTGGGGGGGTTGAGTCAGTGTGCTGTTTTTTAATTGGTGTGTTGGTGGTGTGTAGTTTGTTGATGATTTAGGTTATGAGTGGGAATTCATAGAACCATGGATCCCATATTTTGTTGAAGTGTTTGGTTGTGTCATGGACTATAGCGGACATTTCGTCCGTTTTGATGGCGTCTTTTTTCTACTGTTTTACTGTGTCCATTGTAGGCGTGTCTGGGCTTCCCCATTTTTCAGCTATTGCTCTCCTGGTGGCTAGAGCAATTTTAGCAATTAGTTTGTTTTGGGCTCTTGGTGTGTTGGCCATAGGTTTGGACAGGAGCCAAATCCATGTTCGTGTGGTATGTCCATGTGCAGGATCTGTGAGACCATGGTTACTATTTGGTGCCATAATTGTGTTGTGTGAGTGCATTCCCACCACATGTGCATGTATGTGCCCTTATGCCCACATCCTTTCCAACATAAATCGTTGTCTGACCTGCCCATCTGTTTAAGTTTTAGCGGGGGTGAGGCACCATCGCATGAGCGTCTTGTAGGCCTGCTCTTTGTGGTTTATGCATATGTAAATGGTGGCTGTGGCTTTCCATATATCGGCCAAGTCGGATGGGTCTTCTGCCGGTCCTATGTCCCTCTCCCAAGCCGACATGGATGTGAGTGCTCCGTCCTTGACGTTTTGTATTATATGGGGGTAGAGTGCTGATATTTGGCCCTTTTGTGTCGGTGTTTGTAGGCATTGTTTTTCAAAGGGTGTGAGTGTCTTAGTGTGGCCTGTTTGATTGTCGGTGTTTGCAGGAAACTTATGATTTGTACATGGCGGAACATGTTGAAGGTGCGGTACGGTGTGGTTTGTGGGAGGTCTGTGAAAGGCGTCGGTTGTTGGTTACTGTAGAAGTGAAACAGCCGCATTAGGTCGTTTTCTTTGAAGCAGGCAAAGTCTTTTGGTGTCATGCCTGGTGGGAATTGTGTTTTGCGGAGTAGTGGTGTTAGTGGTGAGGGTTGTGTTGTTAGTCCACTTTTGTGGGTTGTTTTGTCCCAGATATTAATTGTGTTAAGGATTGCTGGGGATGTTTGGGGTAGGGGGTTCTCGCTGATTTGGGTTTCCATATAAACAAGGAGTGGAAGTCCCTGCCGAAAATATCATGCTCGAGGTCTACCCATCTTTTTACTCCGTATGGGGCATGCCAATTTTGGGCTTGTGTTAGTTGTGCTGCCTGATAATAGTGAGTGAGATGTGGTAAGCCTAGGCCCCCTGCTTTGTTTGGTACATACAAGGTTTGTCTTTTTATTCTGGCACGTCTGTTGGCCCATATGAATTTATCTATTTTGGTTTGCAGTAGTTTGAAGTCTGTGTTACGTATTGGGATTGGCAGGATTTGGAACAAGTATAAAAGTCTGGGTAGAGCGTTCATCTTTATTGAAGCTAATCTACCCAGCCAGGATATCGGCATGTTTTGTCATTTGTGTGAGTTTTTGGATTGTGGGTGTGTAATTTAGTTCATAGCTACGGAAAAGGTCTGCTGGTATGGATACCCCTAGGTATTTTATATAGTCTGGTGTTAAATTGAAGGGGTATATATTGTGTATGGCTGTTTTAGTGGAGGGATCTATGTGTATGGCTAGGGCTTCCGTCTTGTCGATGTTGAGTTTATATCCTGAAACTCTGGCGTATGTTTCTAAGGCATGTAGGAGTGGTGGTAAGGATGTTACTGGTTCTGTTATTGTGACTAGCAGATCATCCGCGTAAGCTTCTGTTTTGTACTCTTCCTCTCGTATTTTCAGGCCTTTTATGTCTTTGTTGAGTCTGTTTGCAAGAGCGGTTCTAGGGATAGCGCGAAAAGGACTGGGGAAAGTGGGCATCCCTGGTGTGTACCATTGTGTATTGTGAAGGAGGGGGGGTGTACGAGTGGGAGTAACAGGTGGGCTTGTGGAGCGGAGTATAAAACCCGCAGGGTGGTTATGAATCTTTGTAGGAATCCAAATTTTTCAAGAGCAGCGAATAGGAAGGGCCATTGCAGTCTGTCGAAGGCCTTTTCGGCATCAAGTGATAGGAGCAGGGTTGGGATATGTCTGGATTGTGCAGTCCATATGAGGTTGTATGTCCGTCTTGTGTTGTCGCTAGCTTGTCTTGCCAGGATAAAGCTTAGTTGGTCCGGGTGGATTAGTTGGGGCAGGAAGGGGCTGAGGCGGTCTGCAAGGATTTTAGTGAATAGTTTAATGTCTACGTTAAGGAGGGAGATTGGTCGGTAGTATCCTGGTTGTAAGTGTGTTTTATTAGGTTTTGGAAGAAGGCAGACGTTGGCCTGTAGCATATCTTTCGGTAGTGGGTCAACCTGTAGTATGGCATTATACAGGTTACAGAGGTGTGAGACTAGTGTGGGGGCATATGTTTTATAGTAAAGTCCGGTAAATCCGTCGGGGCCTGTGCTTTTGTTAGGTTTCAGTGCTTTAATCGATCCCGCGAGTTCCTACGGCATTATGGGGTTGACTAGTGCTTGTGCTGCTTCTCTGGGGAGGGAGGGCAGTGGTGCCTGGGTTAGGTAGTGGTCTATGAGTGTTGTGGTAGGTGTTGGATGTTGTCTCGCTTCCGGTGTGTGGTCATATAGATTTCAGTTCTCTGCTTGATTCTGCGTGCGAGTAGTGTGTCGGCTTTGTTTGCTTTGTCGTAAAAGAATTGTTTTGACCAAAGTAAGGCTTTGGTCGAGTCTTTTGCCATGACAGCTTTGATGTCCATTTGGCATTTTATGATTTGTTTGTTTAATTCTTGTGTTGGTTCTATTTTGTGTTTGGCCTCGAGTGTCCTAAGGGTCGTTAGTGTTTGTTCCAGGTGGGCTGTCTGTTTTTTTTTTTGTGAATAGTGGCTTGATTTATCAGGACTCCGCAGATTACTGACAACGAAAACAAACAAAGAAATAAGGGTGCGCCTAAAGTATATAAAAGACAGTATATACTTAAAATTATGATAAAATATAAAGATAAAATAATCAAATAAAATATAGGATAAAATTAATAGTAGTCCAAAAAGGGTGAACTTATCACAGTCTGTAAAAGTAGGTCCCACATGTAAAGAAGTATTCTTAGGGTGTAGATGGGATCATGTCTTCACAATCAAATATTGGAAGTTCAGCATATGTAAGAAGAAGAATAAAACAAGACTCCAATGGCACAGTAAATCGGTGTATAAAATAAATATAAAAAATATAAAAAAAATATAAAATCAGTCTTACTCACACTAGGATCAGCTCTGATATTGCTCGCGTAAAGTGGAATGATCCCCACTTCAAGGATATGTGGAGTAGATTTTGATAGCTGAGTATCTGGCGTGGATTCAGCGTTCAAATTGATGTTGTGCGACCTAGAAGGAGAGAATAAAATATATATTGCTCACTGTATATAATCCAAAATTAAAAGGATGTAAAGTATACTACTCACGTAATGTAGAGCAGGCTCAAAACTGCTCGGTGTAAGCGCTCGGGTGGTATGATCCCCACCTATGGATTCTTTGCACTTCTTGTAGAGTATGCAATATACGTAAAATCAGGTAAAAAGGAAATGTACGTAAAATCAGGTGTCTTCTTTTTTGATGGGGCCTATGTCTCACTTAGTGGCATTTGAACTGTTTGTTCAAATTACCCCACAAAAAGGACTAACAATTGTGATAGACACTTAGGATATCTTATATGATGTATACTGTCTTTTAATGTGCTGCCACATTTTCACCAGTTTATGTCAAAGTTTGTAGTAAAAAAATAAATTTCATTTTTTTTACACACACATATTACATTATATCTGGGCGTTTGTCAAATCTGATATTTGCCCCTGTAATCAAACCTCATTAATTATGCTCATGGACCTATTCTGAGTAAAACAATACCCCCAATGTATGCCTTTGTCAATATTTTGTGACAGTGCCATATAAGATACCTGACTATTTCAGTTTTTACCTTTAGAATTTTGATATATTAATTTCATTGGCCTATTTTACATTTTGGAGCATTGTAGCAATTTAATAGTTCAAATCAGAATATAAATGCATGCCATTTGTTACATAGTACATACTCAGTTTATCCATGTCTCAAAACTGACACAATTCTGAGTCATAGTTACATAGTAGTCTGTGTTGCAAAAAAAGACTGAAGTCCATCAAGTTTAATCCTTCAAGCTTATTATTTTATGATGTTGATCTAAAACAAAAGAAGGTTAAAAAAAAAAAAAAACAACTGTAGCCATTTCCAATTATACCACAACAAGGGGAAAAAATTCCTTCTTGATTCCATAATGGTAATCATATTTCTCCTTGGATCAACAATCTGTTCACAAACATATCAATTATATCACTGAACATACATACATGCATACATACATACATACATACATACATACATACATACACACACCTTTATTTTTTTCAATCACCACCATGCTTTGGGGATGTGATCAAAAGCAGTGAGTAAACTAATGTGTCCGTATAGACTCGCTTATGTGGGCAAGACAGATCCCCCTTATCACCAATCGAGTGTTAGAACTGCATATTATAGGGACTCTAATGAGATCAGCCTATGGCATCTTTATAATTCTGGTTAGTGTTCAAGTAGAGATTGTAGCCATATCAGTCCAGTGATGCAGATGTAAAAAACAGATACAATTTGTATCTTGTAATACCTTTTTTTTATTGGACTAACAGAAATTTTTAATGACAAGCTTTCGGGAGAACCTCCCTTTCTCAAGTCTAAATCATTTCTGAGCAAGATAACACAAATAATTCAAAGTTGAGTTGTGATACAGGGGTTAAAGTGACATTAGTGCAGATAAGACACAGGTTTGATATAAAATAGACACCATTCTTGCAGAGGGTCATAAATATCTTGTGTGAAGATCACAGAGTGTGGGGGGAAACAGAGAAAAAAACAACAACAAACAGTGCAGAAGATGGTGCCAGAAGAGGAGAGTAAAAACAAAATAATATATTAAGAATGCATGAATTCCCATC